TTTTATTTCCAGATATTGTTTGAGTAAAATCAAGTTGAAATGCCTGTAGATAAAATGTACAGTATAACCTCTGAACAGGGACACCATCACAACCAAAAAGTCTGTCCTCTATTTAGAGGTACATGCCAACATGAAATTTTAACATGGTCATTTAAAGTGAATATAATGGATTATGAAAACAGCAAATTTGCATTTGTAATGTGAAAATACCAAAAAGTATACATAACATACAGGATGAACCAAAAGTAGATGGACAGTAAATGATAACATTTATTGAGATTACATATACATATATATTTTGAGATTGCATATACAATTATACAAGGTGCATCTGAAAAGTTCAATGAATGGTCCCATAGTTGAATAACCACGCTGGTTAGGATGTTGCGCTCATGCAGACGTAGTGAGAGACTTGCCAACTAGTGGCCTCTAGAATCAAAGTCACGACAGTTAAACGAAAGTGCGCACAACAAACAATGCAACACAATCAGTGTGAGAAGGAGTGTCAATGCAAAATGGAGCAATGTGTGAACATCAACTTTGCTTCAAATTAGGCAAAATGACGACGGAGACACATGAATGTTAGTAAAAGTGTATAGTGTGGAAGCAGTGAGTAAAAAGTGTGTTTTTGAATGGTTTAAACACTTCAGAGACGGAAAGGAAGATGTCGACAATGAGCCGCATTCTGGTCGACCATCGACAAGCACAACTCCAGATAACATCGAACGAGTGCGACGGATGCTTGTGGAACCTGTCTTTGAGAATGATAGCAGAAAATTTGAAGATAAGCAAGGACAGTGTGAGCCCATGACAGGCGCCGATCATCCGCAAGCATCCATCACACTCATTCAATGTTGTCTGGAGTTGTGCTTGTTGACGGTTGAAGCATTTAAACCATTCAAAAACACACTTTTTACTCACTGCTTCCACACCATACATTTTCACTAACATTTCATGGGTCTCCATCACTGTTTTGCCTAATTTGAAGCAGAACTTGATGTTCACACGTTGCCCCATTTCGCAGTGACACTCCTTCTCACACTGACTGTGTTGCATCGTTTGTTGTGAGCACTTCCGTTTAACTGTCGTGATTTCGATGCTAGGGGCCACTAGTTGGCAAGTCTCTCACTATGTCTGTGTGAGCGCAACATCCTAACCTGCACAGTTATTCAACTATGAGATCATTCATCGAACTTTTCAGACGCACCTTGTATGTAGGCTACTAATGCAATACAATACAATTTTATTAATGCAAATGGCTCAAACTGCTGTCCATCACAATTTACACAGCTTTGAAGTCTACATTTCGCCGTTTCATACTTCGACAAGCATTTTTGCACAAGTATCTTCTTGTATTAATTTCTTGAAATGCATCTCTTATGCAATTTTTCAACCATTACCATAACCAAGTTAAATATACACCATTTTTATAGTATAACCATAACACACTATTCCATCTTCTGTCCACCTACTTTTGGTTCACCCTGTATAATTAAAATACAGTCTGGTCGACTGTATTTTAATTATACAGGTTCCCTATAATTTAGACTGATTCCCTATAACACAAGTTCATATAGTTCGGATTCCTGTATCACGGCAAAAAAATTGTGACAGTATTCGTAAAAAACACACTAAAAAAACTCGTATAATTCAGCAAAACGTCATTGCCGACTCGTGTCGTGATAGGATTGGTCGAATCTAGACCAATAGCAGATATTGCACAAACCGTTGAGTTTAAACGAGCAGCGGACCTACGAAAAACCATTTATTATTTAACGGCCATTAAAATTATATTTATATTAATGATGTCTCCAAAGTTCAGCGAATTTTTCACAGAAAAATAATTTATCAGGAAACACGCACCCACCGTTCGATGCGCCGCTCCACGACGAAAACAAGCTTAAGCAATGGTGTCATCAAATGGTGCACACTAGGTAAGTAATCCTACAATTTTTTGTTTATAGCATAGTTTATATGGATTATTCCCAAAAAATTATACATGTTTTGGAAATGTTGAGTCAAATTAGTCTAGAATCGATTAATTTTATGGAAGAAAACCTTTCAAACAGTCATAGTCTGTAAAGTGCATACGTGCCGGGCTGTGATTGTCTCATGTATTTAATTAAGGACTCGTACAACATGAAATTCATAAAAGACGGAACGTATCTACCGAGTTATAGGGGGGGTCTACTGTATTGTAAAAATTCTCCTATTATCATTCTTTAATAATTAACAAACACTGCTGATTATTCAATGTAATGAATCAAAAAATTCTTGCTATCTTTTTGTTCATTTCTTTTAATGCTAGCATTCTGTGAATGTCTTACTGTGTAACTTTAAGAACTACATGTAGTTACTAACCATGATTTAATAATTCTGTTAATTAAATTCTTATTTTTTTTGATGTTACTATATATTTCTATCATTAAACTGAAAAATTTGAATTTCTAAACATTAATAATATTCTAATATATATAATAAAGATGCATTTTTGAAAAATCATCTTAAAAATCTGCATAGTATTGAGGTATTTTAAAAGCAATGTAATTAGTACATCTACATTATCCACAGTTGTATTACCTAAATAATAAAATAATAAAAAGTTGTGTGTTGAAGTATAAAAGTTTCATTATTATGAAGTATAAATATTTCAGTATTAACATACTTCTCATTAAAATTATTATTTAGCTTATTTTATTACAAGCTATTTTAATAACACTATTTCAGAAATACTTACTTATTTTCTTTAAAATTATTTAAATCCAGCAAACCTGAAAGTGTTTCAGGTTTTCCTTTTAAAATCTAAAATAAAAAAATAAAATTTACTAAGACAGAAAAGAGAAGATAATATCATTACATTAATTATTAAATTATTATTCACTTATGAGAATCTTATTATAGCCCAGTAACAACAAAATTTTTCATGAAAACTAACATTTTCAACCATAAACACGGTCTTCACCAGGTTTTTAACCAGTAAGATTCAAACATGGAACACATCAAAAACATGTTTAAAAAGAGATAAGATATTTCTAAAAACCTATATCCAAGAAAACAAATAGAGAACAGAAATAAGGTACCATTGTGTATATATTATACAAATTAAGCCAGTACCACAGCAAAGACAAAACCCGATGAAAGTCGGGCACCAGTGTCTACATGACTCCCCTCAGAGACCACAGATTCCAAAGTGATCTAGTATACATCAGATCCATGAAGTGTTCATTAAGCAAAAGAATGCAGGAGCACAAGTATAATATCGCCAACCAAATGCATACCACTGCACTATCCACCTATGCTTTGGACCCCAAAATATAGGCTGACCTCCATAACGCCAAATTGGTTAGGCAGTCACATCAAATTGAACACCTTTGCAACCGTGAGGCATTAGAAATTTACAAAGCCAGCCTAGCCAGTAACTATATTAACTCAAAGGATACTTTAATATTTTAAGACAAAGTTTGCCCAAACTGGGACCAACATTTATTAGTTCTGTGTTTTAGACAATACAATTCCAGCGACCAACCTTCCTTTTTAGGCTACTAACCGCCAAAAATGCTAAAAGGCCTTAAAAACACAAAAATTTTTTAAAATAGGAACTGGTGACATACGAATGTCTTCTTGATCCATCTAACCTTCTTGGGGTGTTTCAGCTTTTTATCCACTAAAAGTAAGCGCTGGAGAATGTAGATTAGAATGACTTCCTCCTGATGACGATACTTTACAATTATGATTCTTAATTCTTTTCGTCAAATGATGCTGTTACCTAAGCGTGGAGGTGGTATTATGAATATGATAATGTTTGATTATGTTATGCTATGATAATGTTTCCTATGCGTGGAGGTGGTGTTATGAAAAAACCGGGAAACTCTAGCATTTAGCTACCTTTTCCTATGCCTTTATTTATATCTTATTAATTATTGTTTTTTGTGTAGAGATAATTATATTGCTATTGGGACATTTACAGTTAAAAGTTATCTACACGCATTTAAATTGTTCCATATTTTAAAAATAATTTTTAAACGTTGTTCGACACATTCCATGTTTGAATCTTACTGGTTAAAAATCTGATAAAGACTGTGTTTATGGTCAAAAACATTAATTTTCATTAAAAATTTTGTTGTTATTGGGCTATAATAAGATTCTCGAGTGTGGATTATCCTTACCAGTAATTCTGTAAGTTGTTTTAAATTATTATTATTAATCAGTGAATGAAAATCACTTATTGATCAGTTATGTAGTTATCATTAATTAATCAGAAAATTGAGTGAACTAAATACAATGCTTCAGCTGTCAAATATATATATATATGGAAGAAAACCTTTCAAACAGTCATAGTCTGTAAAGTGCATACGTGCCGGGCTGTGATTGTCTCATGTATTTAATTAAGGACTCGTACAACATGAAATTCATAAAAGACGGAACGTATCTACCGAGTTATAGGGGGGGTCTACTGTATTGTAAAAATTCTCCTATTATCATTCTTTAATAATTAACAAACACTGCTGATTATTCAATGTAATGAATCAAAAAATTCTTGCTATCTTTTTGTTCATTTCTTTTAATGCTAGCATTCTGTGAATGTCTTACTGTGTAACTTTAAGAACTACATGTAGTTACTAACCATGATTTAATAATTCTGTTAATTAAATTCTTATTTTTTTTGATGTTACTATATATTTCTATCATTAAACTGAAAAATTTGAATTTCTAAACATTAATAATATTCTAATATATATAATAAAGATGCATTTTTGAAAAATCATCTTAAAAATCTGCATAGTATTGAGGTATTTTAAAAGCAATGTAATTAGTACATCTACATTATCCACAGTTGTATTACCTAAATAATAAAATAATAAAAAGTTGTGTGTTGAAGTATAAAAGTTTCATTATTATGAAGTATAAATATTTCAGTATTAACATACTTCTCATTAAAATTATTATTTAGCTTATTTTATTACAAGCTATTTTAATAACACTATTTCAGAAATACTTACTTATTTTCTTTAAAATTATTTAAATCCAGCAAACCTGAAAGTGTTTCAGGTTTTCCTTTTAAAATCTAAAATAAAAAAATAAAATTTACTAAGACAGAAAAGAGAAGATAATATCATTACATTAATTATTAAATTATTATTCACTTATGAGAATCTTATTATAGCCCAGTAACAACAAAATTTTTCATGAAAACTAACATTTTCAACCATAAACACGGTCTTCACCAGGTTTTTAACCAGTAAGATTCAAACATGGAACACATCAAAAACATGTTTAAAAAGAGATAAGATATTTCTAAAAACCTATATCCAAGAAAACAAATAGAGAACAGAAATAAGGTACCATTGTGTATATATTATACAAATTAAGCCAGTACCACAGCAAAGACAAAACCCGATGAAAGTCGGGCACCAGTGTCTACATGACTCCCCTCAGAGACCACAGATTCCAAAGTGATCTAGTATACATCAGATCCATGAAGTGTTCATTAAGCAAAAGAATGCAGGAGCACAAGTATAATATCGCCAACCAAATGCATACCACTGCACTATCCACCTATGCTTTGGACCCCAAAATATAGGCTGACCTCCATAACGCCAAATTGGTTAGGCAGTCACATCAAATTGAACACCTTTGCAACCGTGAGGCATTNTAATGATGCCACGCAATCTCAGAGCCACTAACTTCTGAATCAGTCAGTAGTTTTTGTCATTGTATGGTCAGGCCATTGACTTTCTTGAACATAGAAAGTAGTTATCGTATGGCATCGTATAAGCTAAACATTCAATTTTTAAAGGCCCATTTTTCAGAAATGCTTGAAAAGTGAGTCCTATTATTTCGATAAAAAGCTGTTTGTGTTTAAGGCTACATGCTCACTAAGTTTTGTTCAAATTGGACACCCAAACATTTGGCCCTCTTCTTGTGACAGTTTAACATGTCACTTTTGATTTCCAGATGACACACTGATAAGGCTACCAGCATTTGCATTAATTAGTAAGTAAAACTGGTGGCGATAAATAATTTGAAGTGATGAAAAAATTTTAAACTGGCAAAATGGTGGCAATATTTTTAAATTTTTCAGAGCAACTCCTGCATAGTGTGTTTTAATTGTCTCATGTTTTTACACAGATGAATAATTAAAATATATATACTGTATATGGTATCAGGCACCTTTGAAACATAAAACTTTATATTGAAGAAGCAGTTCTAAACATGAGTCAAATCTTTATGTTTGCATTAACAAAACATAACCCTTTATAAAACAGAAAATTCTAGTCAATACCATTGCTTTGTTTTTATTTTAGACAAGTGTTATTTTATTTTATTTTGAAGAATTCTATACCAAAAACTGATACCCAAAAAGACAATTATTATTCAGAAATATTGCGATAAATATATGTGAAAGAGAAATTGAAAAAAAAAAAAAAAGTAATCATAACAGAGAAGGAATAAAAGTGAAATAGAAAATATATGAGCCGTTTATTTTGAAAGTGGGGCAAGTCCATTTTTGAAAAAAATTGAGATAATGGTAGTTATAGATAAAACTTGTTATGATCTTTTTATGTGTAAACAATTTATAGTAAAAAAAAAATCAGATTCTAATATTTGGGAGATGAAAGTTTTAGCTCTTAACAGTATTGAAAATATGTTTATTTTGAAAGTGGTGCAAGTCCATCTTAGATTGAAGTTATTTCTGACTTCATATCTTACGGCAAAATTTAGCTCCAGTTGCTGTATGGTGAAGCAATGTGGCCGTTTGACATCATGTCTGAAATCTAGGGTGTTTCTATCTATCTATCTTTGATATTGAAAGTCGGTGGTTGTACAATATTTCATAAATAACAAAAAGTATATCTTAATTTTGTGTTTCGATAATAATAGGTTTACTTCCAACACCGAGAAATATAAGCGGAATATGTATGTATTGAATCAAGGCTTCCACAATTTTCATAATGATGAAGTTAGTATGTATGTTTGGGATGAAACTATAAGAACGCAAGAAGTAGCATCTTGCTATCCCGAAGAGCACAAGAAGTAGCATCTTGCTGTTTGAAGCACTTACAGACTGTGACAACCCAAAAACACATTATAGCTTATAGTGACATGTGCACTGGCCAAAATAGAAACATAAAGTTGGCCTTAATGTGGATGAAAATTGTTCAGTCTGGTGACAATGAAATAAATATCATTGATCACAAATTTTTATTTTCAGGACATTCATTTTTACCGAACGATCGTGATTTTGGAGTGGTAGAAATGGCAATCCGGAAAGCCAGTTCCTTGTATATTCCCCAGGATTACTATAAACTAATACGAAATTGTCGAAAACATAATAAATTTTTAGTACATGAAATGAAACGCGAAAATTTTTTTCAACCCAACCTCTGGGGAAAGCAGTTTTAAAAAGAAACAAAAATACCGATGGAGAAACCGTGAATTGGTTAAATATATGCTGGATCAGATTTACAAGGGATGCACCATACAAAATGTTCTACAAAACTTCGATAGAACGAGATGCTGAATTTAAAATTATCGATTTGTCACCACAACGAGGAAGACCAAGTAATTTCGGAAATATAAAGTTATCTTTTCTGTATGAAAAAAGGAGATCTATTACATCTGAAAAATACAAGGACATGATGGATTTATTACCATATATACCTCCCGTTCATCATGAATATTTTAAAATGTTAAATCCTGAATAAAATTCATTTAATTATACCTACGTATAAACTGAAAATGTATAATTTCATTGAAATTCTTAATAAAACTGAATTTTTTTTTTTTATGTTATATTTTCTACTAGAATATTCTTTGTTTTGTTTCACTTTTTATCAAATGAATAAATATTTATAAAAATTTGAATAGTATTTTGTTTTTATTATTAAAAAAAGGCTGATGCAACTGAAAAAATTCCCAATTAAATGAACGATTACAATAATTCATTAATTTTGAAAGTGAGGCAAGTCCATTTAGTTATAATGAAACTCTTACTTTTTTTAGTCAGCACTGTAAACACTATTGAATTATAAACTTACATTATCTGGTACCACAAAATATTAAAAATATATCTATTAATACTTACCAATATTTTTAAATATATTGAAATGCTAACCTTTAAATATCTCGCAATAACAAAAATTTGACTTGCCCCATTTTCAAAATAAACGGCTCATATATTTTATTAGTACAAAAATATTAAAAAAAATATATTTATATGAGTAATTATTTATTGTGACATGCAACAATGCCAGGCTGCAATTTTTTGTCACAATGTTCTCATATTTTAGAGGTGTTTTGTCCCTGTACATCATACATTTCCTATTATCAATAGAGTTGTGCCAGTTATCTATCTAACTCCCTTCAGGGAAAAATTTTTGAATTGAAATAACATGACTTCTGGTTTATACCAGAAGTTTGTATATAGTTAATCAGGGCCTACTGCCCCTAAACTTTCCATATCTGGTTTCAACTTCATTTATCTAACTCCATTCTTGAGATTAACAGACAGACAAATGACAATGGAAATTTATGTCTATAATTTTTTAAAATTGCAGCCCAATAATAAAAATCAAAAAATGCTTGGTTTTAATTTTTTTTTATGTAGTAATTAAATTTTTATCATATGTAATATATTTACAGAATATATTTTAAAATAATACCAAATATAATTTTCTGAAATTAAGAACTTTATATCATGTAAAATTTTCATATATCATCTTAAAATTATGTTTTATCTACTAATGATTAAAAATGTTATTTGAAGTAAACAGAATAAAAATATATTACAGTCTAAAAGAAATATTGCTCCAATTACAACATAAATCAATAAAGTATATGCCTTCTAAAGAAGTGGTTCTTCTCAATCTTTTTGAAGTTGGGGAACACTAAACTTTGACATTTTTTTCCACGAAACACTTACAATACATCAGCTTTAAAGCAGAGTGGCAAACCTTTTTGAAATCAAGCTCACTCAATCTAGTAGATGATGACATTGGCATTTGCTGATTACATTCCCATACAAAAATTATTTTATATTGTATTGATATTTCTTTTGTAACAATTTTTAATTGTATATTTGATTTTTCTCGAAACATTTGAAGTGGCTTCACAGAGCACCCGTGTTCTGTGAACCACATATTGAGAACCACAGTTCTAAAAGATTAATAAACATTTATAATCATTTACAGTTTAAACATTGTTTTATCATTCTATTTCTAATGAATAAATAACAAAAATATAGTTATTGATTAAAAATTTAACATAAAAATAATATAGTTTATCAATAAATATAAACCATTCAACTATCCAGCAAAATTCTTTAATAATTTAAAAACGTTTTCAAACGCATTAAGCGTTCATCTTCAGAATATATTTTATATATTCTGAAGATATATAAAGTGGTAGTATAAAGTATACCTTTCCTTAAACCAATTATCAAGAGGGTTTCCAAAAGTAAGAACTTGCAGATAGTTTATCGACGTAATCCCACTATATACAGGATGTTAAGGAATGACAAGGGGGATTATGAACGCAACTCCTTAACAGGAATATACTCGATACCGCTACGGGACCACAGGTTCAACTCTAATTTAATATATATAGGCGCAACTTTGAGGAATTTGAAAAAAAGAATCAATGAGCATAAGCTTTCAGTGAACAAAACGGTAGACAGCACGGTCCTTGCCGCTTATGCTAAGCAACAAGGCATCACTGTTTTCTGGGACCAGGCCTCTATAATAAAAGCCACCAGATCTAGACACGCGGTAAAATACCTTGAAAAGTTGGAAATCCACAAGGCACAGAAGAGCGCACAGTGTATCAACTTTAGAGATGCCGACGGGCTTTCGTCCGCTTGGAAATCTTTTTGCGACGAAGTGGCATAGATCCATATAAAAGGCTCAATCAGGCTTATGATGATCGTTGATAGATTTATTTATTTATTTATTTTATTTTTTGTTATTATTTTATTATTATTATTATTGTTTATTGAGCACACGAATATTTGTATATAGCACTTTCATTTGTAACGCGTTACCTTTTAATTTTTTACATAATCGTTATTTGGAATTTCCGTTGCGTAATTTTTCGAATTTCACAGTTCGAATGGAGAAATAACTGAAGATGAACGCTTAATGCATTTGAAAACGTTTTTAAATTATTAAAGAATTTTGCTGGATAGTTGAATGGTTTATATTTATTGATTTTATTCTCCAGTAAGCAAGTATACCATTAATTAATATAGTTTATGCTTTTATCCATTGATTAATTTAATCTGAATTAAATTTTGAAAAAATCCAAAACTTTAAAGATTCAGTTGTGCAAAGTGAAAAACATTAAATTCCTATTATAATCAAAACACTAAGATTATAAAAAGTTCTGATACCAAATAATAATAATGTCATTGAAAATTATTAAGTTATAATTAAACTAATTTAGTTATCTGAATTCTTATCAAATAATTTTTTAAAATCAATATTACAAATATTTAATCACAACCAGGCATGTAAAATTTACTCTATATAAAACTGTAATTTGTCAAAAATCTTGATAAAATGATTAAATTTAATACAAGAAAAAAAAATCTATACCTTTCTTGACATCATTCTATAAATATGTGGTTTCCACCAATGTTCTTTAATTCCTTTAGCATCTACAACCAAACCTTCATGTGTTTCACATAAATGTTGAATAATACATGGTAATTCTGTTGGTACTTTTTTGCTATTAGAAAATCCTACATTAAAGAGAAAATATCATTGTAATTTAACAAAATTTTTAATTATAAAAAAATTAGGTTCAATAATTTTTAATGGGAAAATCTAACATTATGATAATTAAATCAGTTTGAGAAATTATTCTATTTTTTTTTTTTTTTACCCTTCCAATTTAAAAATAAAAATTTTTTATGTTAAAATTTTCATTATTTAAAACATTGTTATTAACACAGACATAAACAACATACAGTCATTTCAATGATATTTCTATGATCTAGTTTGTTCCAGGATATAAAATATCCTGGGACAAACTAGACATTGCAGATGATAGGTAGATCTTGAGATAGTCATGTAAAACAAATTAAATTTGTTGTTTTAATGTCAAAGCATAATACATAAAATTATAATGTATTTAATTCTATAAACACATTAAAAAATTCATACAAATGTTACTAGCAACTGCAAAATAAACTTATACATGTGCATGTTCTAAAAACCTTTTACATTATAAATATTCAGATCAGATAAATGATTGAAAAAATGTACATTATCAAACTTTTTAAACAAATTTTTGAATTCAATTAATAAATCAAGTAAATATCTTAAAAATATATTACAGTCTAAAAGAAATATTGCTCCAATTACAACATAAATCAATAAAGTATATGCCTTCTAAAGAAGTGGTTCTTCTCAATCTTTTTGAAGTTGGGGAACACTAAACTTTGACATTTTTTTCCACGAAACACTTACAATACATCAGCTTTAAAGCAGAGTGGCAAACCTTTTTGAAATCAAGCTCACTCAATCTAGTAGATGATGACATTGGCATTTGCTGATTACATTCCCATACAAAAATTATTTTATATTGTATTGATATTTCTTTTGTAACAATTTTTAATTGTATATTTGATTTTTCTCGAAACATTTGAAGTGGCTTCACAGAGCACCCGTGTTCTGTGAACCACATATTGAGAACCACAGTTCTAAAAGATTAATAAACATTTATAATCATTTACAGTTTAAACATTGTTTTATCATTCTATTTCTAATGAATAAATAACAAAAATATAGTTATTGATTAAAAATTTAACATAAAAATAATATAGTTTATCAATAAATATAAACCATTCAACTATCCAGCAAAATTCTTTAATAATTTAAAAACGTTTTCAAACGCATTAAGCGTTCATCTTCAGAATATATTTTATATATTCTGAAGATATATAAAGTGGTAGTATAAAGTATACCTTTCCTTAAACCAATTATCAAGAGGGTTTCCAAAAGTAAGAACTTGCAGATAGTTTATCGACGTAATCCCACTATATACAGGATGTTAAGGAATGACAAGGGGGATTATGAACGCAACTCCTTAACAGGAATATACTCGATACCGCTACGGGACCACAGGTTCAACTCTAATTTAATATATATAGGCGCAACTTTGAGGAATTTGAAAAAAAGAATCAATGAGCATAAGCTTTCAGTGAACAAAACGGTAGACAGCACGGTCCTTGCCGCTTATGCTAAGCAACAAGGCATCACTGTTTTCTGGGACCAGGCCTCTATAATAAAAGCCACCAGATCTAGACACGCGGTAAAATACCTTGAAAAGTTGGAAATCCACAAGGCACAGAAGAGCGCACAGTGTATCAACTTTAGAGATGCCGACGGGCTTTCGTCCGCTTGGAAATCTTTTTGCGACGAAGTGGCATAGATCCATATAAAAGGCTCAATCAGGCTTATGATGATCGTTGATAGATTTATTTATTTATTTATTTTATTTTTTGTTATTATTTTATTATTATTATTATTGTTTATTGAGCACACGAATATTTGTATATAGCACTTTCATTTGTAACGCGTTACCTTTTAATTTTTTACATAATCGTTATTTGGAATTTCCGTTGCGTAATTTTTCGAATTTCACAGTTCGAATGGAGAAATAACTGAAGATGAACGCTTAATGCGTTTGAAAACGTTTTTAAATTATTAAAGAATTTTGCTGGATAGTTGAATGGTTTATATTTATTGATTTTATTCTCCAGTAAGCAAGTATACCATTAATTAATATAGTTTATGCTTTTATCCATTGATTAATTTAATCTGAATTAAATTTTGAAAAAATCCAAAACTTTAAAGATTCAGTTGTGCAAAGTGAAAAACATTAAATTCCTATTATAATCAAAACACTAAGATTATAAAAAGTTCTGATACCAAATAATAATAATGTCATTGAAAATTATTAAGTTATAATTAAACTAATTTAGTTATCTGAATTCTTATCAAATAATTTTTTAAAATCAATATTACAAATATTTAATCACAACCAGGCATGTAAAATTTACTCTATATAAAACTGTAATTTGTCAAAAATCTTGATAAAATGATTAAATTTAATACAAGAAAAAAAAATCTATACCTTTCTTGACATCATTCTATAAATATGTGGTTTCCACCAATGTTCTTTAATTCCTTTAGCATCTACAACCAAACCTTCATGTGTTTCACATAAATGTTGAATAATACATGGTAATTCTGTTGGTACTTTTTTGCTATTAGAAAATCCTACATTAAAGAGAAAATATCATTGTAATTTAACAAAATTTTTAATTATAAAAAAATTAGGTTCAATAATTTTTAATGGGAAAATCTAACATTATGATAATTAAATCAGTTTGAGAAATTATTCTATTTTTTTTTTTTTTTAACCTTCCAATTTAAAAATAAAAATTTTTTATGTTAAAATTTTCATTATTTAAAACATTGTTATTAACACAGACATAAACAACATACAGTCATTTCAATGATATTTCTATGATCTAGTTTGTTCCAGGATATAAAATATCCTGGGACAAACTAGACATTGCAGATGATAGGTAGATCTTGAGATAGTCATGTAAAACAAATTAAATTTGTTGTTTTAATGTCAAAGCATAATACATAAAATTATAATGTATTTAATTCTATAAACACATTAAAAAATTCATACAAATGTTACTAGCAACTGCAAAATAAACTTATACATGTGCATGTTCTAAAAACCTTTTACATTATAAATATTCAGATCAGATAAATGATTGAAAAAATGTACATTATCAAACTTTTTAAACAAATTTTTGAATTCAATTAATAAATCAAGTAAATATCTTAAAAATATATTACAATTCTACTGACTAAAAATATAATACTGTTTGTTTTGACTTTTTAATACAAAAACACAATAAATATTTTCAATAATAAAATATAATAAACACTTAAAATATACAATAATAATAGTGTGATGTATACAGGTAGCCCTCGGTTTATGCCGCAGTTCTGTTCCTACAAAAGCCGGCGCAAATCGAATTGGCGTAAAATGAACCCATATTTACAGTGAGGTATAGGGTTAGGTTCTACATAAGTGAAAAACAAGCAAATAATTTTGTTTATTAATACAATATAATACAAAATACATATAAATTTTTAATTTTTAAAATGCATTTTATCATAAAATAAAGTGAAACGTTTTTATTAAAAAATTTTAGTTTCAGATCTCTTACATTTTTCGGAAAAAATATCCATCTTTAATTGTTTACATTTTTGTTTTCTTTCATTGAGAATTTCGGAATATGGTCGAATGAATGCAATGATGCTTCTTTTTACATTTGCACTTCGCTCCTAATCATTGTCTAATTCACAAAGTTCATCCATTAAACTTTCCATAGTTGAAAGGATACGTTAACCCGACGTATAGCTACAGATGAGCAGAGACACTGATTGGTCGACCACCGGTCACCGTAGCGCATGTATAAGGTCAATTTGAGTGGGAAAATTCAAGGTGGCTAAGGAGAGATAGATATCGTCTGACTGATGAGAAATAGATATTGTCTGGCTAATAAAAAAGTATTGTCTGGCCAATGAGAAGTAGATTTGTCTCACTAACGATAGTTTGTGATAGCCAGAAGTGCTACTGCATTGTAAGGTGTTTTCCTGAATGAATTGATACGGGATACATTCATTGGCGCTATGGATTCAGACGCCATTTACTGGATTATTAAGTTTGATAACTTGACTCGTGGGTACCTAAACGTTTAGTGTTTTAATATTGATTTAATGCAAATGTATACATACCCAATAATATTAAACAGAAAAACTAAATATATTCAATAAAAATCTTTGTTTTAACGAATGTACAATATCGCAACTCGGTAAATACGTCAACACTGAAATGAAAATCAGTCTGGCATAGGGAAATCGGGGAATTACACTACAAAACGGCAAATTGCGTAGCAGCATTATTGTGAATCGGCGTAAATTGAGCTGGCATAAACCAAGGGCTACCTGTATTTGAGAGCTTCTTTGTTTCATATTTCTCTCTCTTTCAATTTAGAGGAACAAAATATTCTAATCACAGGTATGACAAGATTAAAATTCTCATACAGATCGCTTGTATTGTCTTTGTTTCAAGAACATTCTGTGTGTATCTGTTCACTAGTAGTGCCAATCACCCTCATATGATTATACAATTTAGTGAACTCTACCTTAGAAACCATTCTATCAATAATTACAATTTTATTTTACTCTATTTTACTTATTCTTCTGCTTACTTATAGTCTTAACTATTTTTTTTCCTTCTTTTTTCAGTAAGTAATGTCTGATAACATAACATATATTTACTTCCCTTACACATATATTGAATTAACTTCTCTCATTTTCTATTAGCACCTTTTACAGCAGTGAATAATTTAATCAAAAATTTCATTTTATTTCATTTAAAATAATTAGTTGATACAAATTCTGTGTTTTGTAGTACAGTAGAGCGTCGTTTATCTGAAAGTTGGTTATCCGAAACGTTGGTTATCCAAAAGCATTTCAGTCGGCAAATTTAAATTTTCGCTAGTGCTGTGGCGCTGCAATCTTTGGCTATATCTTGGGCTACTCCAATATTTTTTTTTGTTGGTGCGTGTGTTTTAGCTGGCAGCACTGGCACTTTTGTGTGATGTTTTTCTGAGAACTGTGTGTTGTGTTGAATCAAACGTTTTTGATAGTATATCAACTTCTAAAGTGTATTTTTTTTTTTGTTTTTATATTTTTCAATATCTTTATTTTATTTGTACAAAGTAAAAAAATAATTTTTAACGATACAATAGTCTTCGTTAGGCTTAACGTCGACGAAAATTCAACGCGAAGCAACACGCAACGGAGAAAATTTTCATCATGAGATAGGTTAATATATTTTTTCGTACATAATCGGTTATCTGAAAAATAAGTTATCTGAACAACCCCAGTTCCCAATTGATTTGGATAAACGACACTCTACTGTAGTTTAATGTTATTTGAAGAATATAGATAAAGGAACTGGTTGATGCAGAAACAAAATACAAATTCTGACCATAAGAAAAAATAAAAATTCATCTCTATAAAATTTTGATTTATGAGAGATTTTCAAGAACAAGATATGCTAGCAAATCAAGATTACATCATATTTCAAATTTAATGTCTTAATTCATTGTAAAAATAAAAATTTTAAGAGGTCACTTAAATGATAAAAAAAATTGTTGTTTAATTCAATTAATACATTTAAATGAAATACTTTTCTTTATAAAATCATTCTGCCCAGTAGTTTTTGTAAACAACTTAATCATTTTTCTCTTCATTTATTGTATCTATTTATTCTTTTATTTATTTGATTAAATTATTCTACTTTTCTAAAAATCATCATTAAACTAGTTCATGGTTAGAAATTTGAATTTGAAAATTAGTGTCATAAAAATAATTAGATCAATTCATTTTGAAAAATTTTTGTTTAGTACTTTTTATGTTTTCTATTATAAATCAACATAAATTTAAAAAAGATTAAAATCTCAAAGAAATGAACGACTTTTGCTTTTTCAAACAGAAAGAGTTAAGTTATATAGTCTTAGTGTTTTATTCTACTCTTCAATAGGAAATTGTTTTATCATGGATACAGACATTACATTATATCAAATAAATTATACAATTGTTATCACAACATTTGTATAAATTGAATTTATGTGTTACAAAACAAAAATGTAAAAATATGTTTATTATTTACCTGAAAAATTAGGATTCAATAAGTCTTTTCTGTCAGCCATCACAGCATTACCATATAGAAGATCAATACAACTTAACAACAAATGATAAGAATTCACTAAGTCATCAGAAATGGCAGGATAATGTCCTGAAAAATAATGACACACAAAATTAATTTATATCATAGTATTCTTTTTATCTTTTTGTTGATAGAATAATATATGGAAAAATATAAAATCAAAAAGCAAATAAATATATGAAATTTACAAGTCAGAATTATGATAAATTTTGAAACTTCACAGCTAGAAGTTCATTGAAGGTGAATTAATTTACAGCCATGTAAGATAAGATACAATTTCATTTACAGTTTTCTTTATTATAAAAAATTGAATTCCTGTATTTATAAAATTCAGAGAAGTTCAATAATTAATTTTAACAATTTTATTTATTTGTGTTATTCAAATAGGTACTATACATATTTAAAAATAAATAGCATTATTTAAACACTTCATTCTTCAGTTAGTAATTAATTGCTAAGCAATGCTAACAAAAACTTTGTTGAAAGACAAATGAAGTATTTCATTCAAATGTGTTTGCCATTTCAGCATCACATTCTCTCTCTCTAGTTTAGCACAATTATATTTTATATACAGTCGACCCCCCTATAACGTGCGTTCCTATAACGACAATTCCTATAACGTAGTGAAAAAATTGTAGCAACATATGTATAAAGGAGCTCCTAAAACGTCGTCGCCGACTCATTTCGCGACAAGATTGATAGAATCTGGACCAATAGTGGATGAGCAGCCGAACTACTTTCCTCCGCCCTGCGCTACGCTACGGAGTGGCTAAATTGAGTTTGCTATTGTCTGTACAGTATTATATATAAATTAGGTACTGTACATATAATTATTTATTTATTATATATAAATTAGGTACTGTATATATAATTATATATTAACTTAATTTATTGTAACTTTATTATAATTATATATATGCTTCTTGCCGTTTGGCACCACGCTACGGAGAGTCTCGGCTAGTATCGTC